TGATGCTAAGGAATTTCCCAACTCATGGGTTAAATCTTTGGATGATCATACAAAAAATTTATGCGGGATTGAATTTTGTTTCTTGTAATCTTTTAGATTCGCCGCGGGTGGTACTTTTATGGAAATTACTTTTGGTGAAGCCACCAAATTTCTTGATAATATTATGGCAAATTATTCGCAATGGCATACGAAAGAGCTCCTACAAGTAAAAAAGTTAATTCGATTGAAGACATTTCTTCTTTGAGTGAAAAAGTTGATGCTCTTATGAAATTGGTTACTAGTAAAAGTGCTCCTATTATTTTTAATGATATACCTTTTTATACTTTGATTGAGCAAAATAGTGATGCCATAGATGTGAATTTTATCTCTCGAAATAATTTCAATAACAATGCTTATAGAGGTAATTTTAATCCTAGGAATTTTCCTAATAATTCCTCTAATAATTATGGTAATTCCTATGGAAATCAATCTTATAATAATAATAGGAACACCTCTGATCTTGAGAACAATATTAAAGAATTTATCACTATGCAAAAAGTTTTCAACACTTCCATAGAAGAAAAGTTGAGTAAGATTGATGGTTTGTCTAGAAGTGTTGATAGAATTGCTCATGATGTGGAAAATCTCAAGATGAAAATTTGTGTGCCTAAAGTTGATGAATAAATTAAATCTCTCTATGTTTCTATGGATGAAAGTAAGAAAAGAACCGCTATGCTTAGAGCTAAAAGAGAAACTTTAGAAAAAGCGATTTCTAGTGATTTCTTTCGCAAAAGTAATGAAGATCTTAAAATGATTGGTGTTTCTTCTATTGATTCCTTATTTAATAAAGTTAAGATTGATGAAAAAGGGACTGGAGAAGAGTCAACTTTAGGTACAAGGCGTCCCAATATTTCGGAGGGTGAAAATCTTGTTGAGAAAATTGATGAAAGTGGGTTTGAAGAGGTCAAAAGTTTAGCTAGTGATGTGCCCACTCTTTTGGTTTACAAAGACTTTAATTATGATAGTTGCTCTTTGATTGATTGTATTTCTTTGTTGCAATCCATGATAAATTCACCCCATGCTTATGAACAAAATAAAGCTTTTACTAAACATATTGTTGATGCTATGATGAAAGCTTTTGAAGAAAAAATTGGAATTATAAGTTTCAATTCCTAGAAAATTGCATGATGAGTGGGAACCTACTATCAAAGTCAAGATAAAAAATTATGAATGGTTTGCTTTGTGTGACTTGGGTGCTAGTATTTCTACAATTCCGGAATATTTATGTGATGTGCTTGGTCTTACCGATCTTGAAGAATGTTCTTTAAATTTGCACTTGGCGGATTCTACTATTAAAAAGCCTATGGGAAGAATTAATGATATTCTTATTCTTGCAAGTAGGAATTATGTGCCCATATATTTTATTGTTCTTGATATTGATTGCAATCCATCTTGTCCAATTATTCTTGGTAGACCGTTTCTACGCACTATCGGTGTCGTGATTGATATGAAAGAAGGCAATATTAAGTTACAATTTCCTTTGAGGAAGGGTATGGAACACTTCCCTAGAACAAGAATTAGGCCACCATATGAATCAATCATGAGGGCATCTTATGGATTTTGAACCAAAGATGACAAAACTTAGATCCTTGCTTTATGCCTAGCTAAGGGCGTAAAACTATAGCGCTTGTTGGGAGGCAACCCAATGAATAAAATTTATTTTGGATTTTTGCCTTCTATTCTTGAGTGTTAGCATAATTATGCTACTGTTATGATTGTGTTTTTTGTGTTTTAATTAGTGTTTGTGCCAAGTAGAACCGATAGGATCTTCTTGGGTGTTAGTTGTTTGATCTTGCTAAAAAACAGAAACTTTTGCGCTCACAAAAACAATTATTGTTTTTTACCAAAGCGTGATAAAATACCAATTATTTTTGCAGAAGATTAATATACAAATTACTCAGGTATTCCTATTTTTTCAGTATTTTTGGAGTTCCAGAAGTTTTTGAAATAGTCAGATTACTACAGACTATTCTGTTTTGACAGATTCTGTTTTTCTTTGCGTTGTGTGCTTATTTTGATGGCTCTATGGTTTTCTTTGATGAGATTTTGCCATAAAAAGTTGAAATACAGTAGATATAATGTAGAAACAAAATATGAATTGTTTTGGTATAGTACTTGTAGTGATTTGCTTTCTTTTACTAGCGGATCTCGTGAAGATTTTGTTGAGTTTTGTGTGATTGAAATTTTTAAGTTTTGGGTTATCTTACGATGGATGAAGGAATAAGGAGTTGAAGAGCCTAAGCTTGAGGATGCTCCGGCATCCCAAGCTATTATCCAAAAATAAGCAACCAACTAAGCTTCTTGGTACTCTCCGGTCTGATTACATTAATGTTAACCTTTTTTTGTTTCGGTTTTTGGTGTAAGTCGGTTGAATATTGGCCGCTTGAGATTGATGTCACGAACAGCTTTGGCATACACTTTTTAACCTAAAGGATACAAGTACGGGAAAATGCCTTGATAATTTAATTTGCCTACGATTCAATCTAAATCTTGAATCTGCAGTTCCACGACATGATCTTCTGTTTCTTCACGCACCAACCTCATGTTGGGAGATTAAAAAATGGTGCATGGAGAAGAATAGCATTTGGGGAAGAAAAACTTGTTTATTCATACAAGAGATGTGTCAAATAGTTAGATCGGTCTAATGAGGCATAGAAATAAGAGAACCGAGTCTTGTAGGATTAGTTTTCTCATTTTCACCCATTTGCATCGAGTTAAAACCGCAACAACAAATAAAGTGGCACACATTGACCTCAAGCCCTTAGATGACCCTAACTATAAACATGGAATCTCATTATGCAGCGACACTAGCACCGGCGACGGACAACATATGACCACCACCTGGCGTGACACATGTGGAGACACCACTGTCTACAACTACTTATCGATGTACCGCATGTGGAACCTATGTCCAATTCCACATGGTGTGTCTCCTTCCACATGATCTATTGCCACATCATTGTCATGTCGGATTGTACAATTATGATTGTTGGATGACATCTTAGTTGTTGCCAGGGCCATGGGAATTGTGAAGCTGTAGCGGAGAACTTCGCGCGGTGCGGCGAGAACGTCTTATTTTTCCATCACCACGAGATGCTCTTCCCCTTCCTCCTCGACCACCAGCACCAGCTCCTGCAACGCCTCCACCTCCACCCGGTCCTGCTCCTCCCGTTCCACCTATACCTTCCCATTTTCCTGCCCAACCCATTCGTCCTACGATTACACATCCTCCGGCCCCGCCCGCACCTCCTGCACCTCCCCATCCTCCCACCCCACCAACACCTCCTGCCGCTCCTACAATAGAACATCCATTAGGCCCACTTATACCTCCTGCTCCTCCTACGATTACACATCCTC